TTTAAGCATGATCGTTATGATAAAGGGCATATACTTAATTACAGGCCTGCTTAATTACAGCTCTGTTGAAGCTCGTTTGTTTAGGAGAATGCTAATTGCACTACGGAGCCCACAGCACATCCTTGCTCTCATCTGCTATACGCTGCTCTGTGCCGTGGATCAGCGTTTTGTTAAAACTGCCACCAAAAAGAAAATTTTTTAAAAAAGAGGAAAAAGTGTCCTAGTACTGAAAGGAAGCGTGCCTAGACATGGCTTTAGGTCCGAAAGGACACCACCATTTGTGGGCCAGGGGCCTCCTCTCTCTTGTCAGCAATTGCTGCCACCCTCACACCAGCCTCCCGGGAGCTCCATCTTCTCTCCATTTCACAGACGGGGTAGCTGAGGCTCAGGGTGGTGGGGCAGCCTGCCGGGCCACATGCCCATGCCCCCTGAGTGGGAGGTAAGGCCCAGGCTGTTGAGCTGCCAGGCCTCCCAGGCCCTCCCACCACACCTACTGCAGCGCCCCCTCCCCCACTATCTGGACTCCTGGCTCCATCAAGCTACCTGACTGCTCTAAGCCTCGGCTTCCTTGAGTATAACCTGCAAGTGATCACGTTGAGGCTTAAGTGACTTGACACATGTCCATTATCTAGCACGCACCCAGCAAATGTGGGTTTTCTGTCCTCTCTCTTTTGTGGAACTGGGCCTCGGGAACAGCTCCCAGATTTGGGGGTGGCCTTTGTCATGTCACACTGGGAGCTGAAGGACTTGGAGAGCGGACTGATGCATGCCCCGGGAATGCCACCTTTGGTGCCAGTGAGGAAAGGACACGCACTGTCCCTGCTTCTGGGTTATGACCATGGACTAGTCTGGCGGTGTCCATCTGGGATCCCCCATGTGAACCCCAGGGGGAGGGTAGGTGGGGAGATGAAAATCACTCTGTGATAGCAAGGACCCCTCACTCATGGCTCTTCCTCTGGCTCCCCTGCACACATCCCTCTGAGTAGAATCAGCAATATACTGAAGGCTAGAGCGAGTGTCACAACTTGGAGCGCTAAAGAATAGTGAAGACAAAATACTGGCTTCAGCCAGGGGAGAGAGAGAGGAAGGAAGTAAATGTGGCTCCCCCCATGAGAAGCCAGGATGGAGATGATTTATGAACACTCCTGCAGAACACATGAAAAATGTGTGCCATTGATTTTAAGAATTATGTTTGGCAAATCTCTAGATATTTTAAAATATAGAATGGCTTCCCAGATAAAGAGAGTAGAAAAGGATGTTTTGAAATTAGAAGGGGATTCAGCAGTCCCACGGATCACTTTCCACCCAACACACCAGATCCCTCCCTAGCACCCCAACACATGACCTCTGCTGGGACCCTGCTTGGCCAGCTCTGCTCATCCTCCCTTTCGTCTTCCCCAGAGAAAGGAACCGTGCATCTAGCCCTCACCCTGTGGCAGCTATGAGAATATGGGCAGACACGTGATTACGCTTACCTTCGAGTCTTATTTGGACCAGGGCCCCCACCTTACTGCACTTCTCCATGTGCTGGTACGGTGCTGGGTTCTAGTGTGCCAGGCAGGGGATGATGGTGAACAAAAATGGACAGGATGACCCCTTCCTGGAGCATCAGGCCTGATGGCTTCCTCCCATTTCCTGGGGACTTTAGATCCTCCACCATCCTGGGACTCCCTATAGGCCACATGGGAGGACCCTCGAGAACTGCTCCCTGCACTGAACTGATACTCAAGCCCAGAGAAGACCAAGATGGCAGCTCCCTCATCTCACACCGGGATTGTAGCACAGTCACGTACCGTGACACTCCTCCCACTTCACGTAGGTCCAAATGGACACCACCATTTGTGGGCCAGGGGCCTCCCCTCTTTTGTGACAGCAGTCGCTGTCACCCTCACACAGCCTCCTGTGTCTCTTTTCTAAGAGAACATGAAAAGGATCAGACTGTGTTCATCTTTCCATCATGAACCCTAAGAGAAAGCAGAAATTTATCCCAAAGTTCCCATCTCCCTCCCTTTACCAGGCAGCATCCTTTGAGGGTCAGACTGGATCTGAGTGGTCTTCCCCCCATTGCCTCTGCTGCTGAACCCCATCAGCTGAGCCAGGCCAGCATAGCCTCAAAGGCCACCCTGAGGCCACTGCTGCCTCTTCTCACCGTCTTGAGGGTACTTTCTTCCCTCCCAAAGGGCTGCCTTTGGTGTAGGCCGGTGAGGATGTCGCTTCTGGTCTTCTATCTTCAGCCTCCTCAAGAAGTTGCTCTGTGAAGAAGTTGCCTTTGACCCTACCCAAGGGCCAGAAGGCATGCCTTTGCCAAATACCTTGCTTGTTCATATGGGGGATTGGTCCTTGGCCCCCAACACACCTCCACCATTCTCCAGGTCTGGGAGTGAGAACTTCACCTGAGGAATGAGGTAGTGGAGGAAGGAACTGGAGGTGAGCAGCCAGGTGTCAGCATCAGGGGTAGGAGGGGAAAGGGCATTTGGTGAAGTGGTTGCAAGTCCTTACATGCCAGGGAGGACCCCCATCTTGGGAATCCCTCTGTGTGGGGTTCTGGTGTGGCTGCCGGCCTTGGGCTGAACAGGAGCCACCTCTGCCTCACTCCTGCTCTCACTGCTCCCCACGCCTCTCATTTCCAGGGGGTGGTTAGGCTGTGGAAGGTCACCCTACTTCCCCTTCTCCAAACATCCACTGACATTCAGATGGAAGCACTGTCAGCAGCGAGGGGGAGTTCTTGACCTATCGTCTTTAACGCAGAAAGCCTAGTGAATGAGTGATCAGGGGTGCTCAGGTTGGGGGTGCATGCTGAAGATGCACTAGCTGAAAGCTACTCACCAAGCATTTGGTCAGGTGCTTCCTGAGTACAATACAGGGGTGTGCAAAGGGAGCTCTGCTGGGGGCCCTGCCATCTGTCTAGCAGGCAGAGAGACGTGGGAAAGGTGTGTGTGTGCAGATGTGTGTACGGAGAACAAAGAGTGACATGGCCCTGCCAGGTGACAGCGGTGGACTTGGGGGATTTAAAGGAGAGGCAAAGTAGGCATGGCTTCCAGCTCTTGACTCGGGATGGCCAGGAGCAGGGTGGCGCCTGACCAGTGAGTGAGAAGGCCCAGGGAAGAGCGGGTTTGGGGAGACGGTTGTGGCAGTTATGACTGGACTATTCCAGTACACACCCACCTCCTGGCCAGTAGTTCTGATCAGAAGGAGCTGGTAGAAGGGACACCTGGAGGCTTCAGGAGGACGTGATAATGCTCATCGAAACCTCATAAGGTCCTGGTCTGGAAGAGGCAGATTTGTTCTCAGAAATTCCATTTATACCCAATAGAAGGGCCAAGGGATTTGGAGTTCTGGCTTACTACCTGTGTGCCCTCAGCAGGCCCTGATCTGTGAAATGATGGCAGGTGCTGAGTGGTACATGCCTGCACGTCTCCATGGCACAGGAAGGGTCATGGGGTCAGGGGTCAGACCTCAGAGTGCCGTGGCTATAGGCCTTGGCTCACACCCTGAGCTGGGGAGATGGTGGCAATCGCTGGGAAGGGAGCATGGCCTCTTTTTGGATCTCGGGTAGGACCCCATCCTGTCCCTATCTAGAAAGCTTGTGGTCTTTAAAGGGTCGTCTGTTCACAGATGGGTTTTCCCAGCCATCCATGAGGACACAGGTACACATGCCCCAGTGTCACTCATATGTCTGAACGTGTGACATACTGTAAAAGATCACCATGTCCTCCCCTACTCTGTCCTTTCTGGAAAGGTGTCACACTTCCTGGCCCTGGGGGCCCAAAGATGGGAGAAGGCCAAGGGTGTCTCTGTCCGAGCCCAGGGCCAGGCCTTGGGCAGCAGCCTTCCAAAGAAAGGAGACTTCCAGGGCAGCAGCTGGGGCCGGCTGTGCTATTTCCTTTACTTCAGATTTACCAGAGGCGGCTTCATTTTCCCTTCCCTGAAATACGTTATGAACAGTTCTTAAAATGAGCCATTTGGCTCATCTTGCTGATCAGAGTGGATTTGTCCCAAACATCTTCTCTTTGTCTTTTCTCCTGCTTTTCTTTCTGTTTCTGCGATGCTTCTTTCTTAGGACTGAAAGAAACTGTCTGCCATTTGTATACCAGAGAAGTTCCCATCTTAGATGTTGGGGGAAGCAGAGAACATCACCTCCCAGAGAACCGTATCACCAGGCCTTCCCCCGGTCCTCCTAAGGCAGGACCCAGGATGAGCCAGAAGACTACCTCCCTCAGGGCTGTGGGAATGGAACTGCACCCTCCACCCTGGTGTTTTCGTTCTCCAGGGACCCATTCCCATCTTCCTCCAGTGTCCTGTTAAAATGAGCAGACTGGCGCCTTGAGTTAGCTGCAAAACCTCGGACTAGGAGACGGAGAGTGAACCGTGGTGGCCGTGCTGCTGCCCCACCCACTTCTGGCTCATGCACACCCCTTCTTACCAGCCCTGTCATTCTCCTCTTTTTGTTCCATCCCAGGACCCGGAGATCATGACCTGAGCCACCCAGGTGCCCCCCTACCATCCTCCTTTTAAATGTAACTTAAACTCACCAACACCCAGCCAGGATTCAAACCTAGTTTTTCTGACTCCAAAGTCACTCTCTTTTCCAACCTAGACCTTTCCTGTGGGGCCAGCAGCCTGGGATACAGTGTCATTCCCAGCCAAGAGAATATCTATGACCGTGCTCCCTGCCCACCTCCCAGAGCACAGCTCTGTCCCATCCCATCTCCCCACCTGCATGCACATCTGTCCTGCTGCCAGCCCCAATAGCTCCCACCCCTTACAGGTCAGAGGCCAGACTCCAAGGGGAGGCTCTAGATGCTTCTCTGCCCCCATGGCTCTGTGTGCACTTCTGTGTGGTGCTCAGGGGACATGCTAGGCATTGGCCTCCACCAGCAGGTGCATGTCCTGGGTGCAAGCATAGTGCCTCTGCTCATGTCAACTTGTTACTGTCACCATCCCCAGTCACTGAACATCACTGGTGTCTCAATGCCGTTTTCTCTCCTGTTCTTTTACAGCAATGGATGGTGTACCTTTTATGATTTCAGAGAAGTTTTCTTGCGTTCCAGAAAGTGTAAGTGTTATGCATGATGGCCCTCTCTTTCTGCCACTGCCAGCCTGCGCTCCCTCTGCTCAGCACACAGGGCTCTCCTGGCGGCCCTCACACCCCTGCCCTCATGTTGTCCCTGTGACAGGGCTTCTTCTCTGGTCCCTTCCAGCTAACGCTGCACACAGTAGGTGCTCAAGGAGCAACAGAAGAGCAGGGATAGGGACGGGGAGGGAGAGAGACACACTAGCAGACTCAGATTCAGCCATCCCAGAGCTGTTTTGTTTCCAATGTGACAGTAAATTGGGCTGAACTTCACTGGTTGTGAATGTTCTTGGCTTCCAAGTTCAACTTATGAATTTTGTTGTTGTTGTTTTTAACCATGACCACATCTCGCAGAAAGAAGGCTGCTTCATTTTTTTTTTCATTGTATTTGCTGGATTCTGTGATAACCGCACTCTCTGCTCTGGAGGGAGGCCTCCGAAAGGCAGGGCTGGCCTGCTAGTGAGCATGCCCACAGCGGTGGTTGCCCAGTCGCCTCAGGCCCACAGGGACCCCAGGACACGCACCAGCCAGCCAGGGCCCCTGAGCTACCTGTGATGACACAGGGACTTGATGAGCTGGCTGGGCCTAAAGGCTAGAACCAGACCATGAGGGGTGCCCACCATCACAGCCTTGGGGGCTGTGGGCTGGTGCTGCAGACCCCACCTGGCACTACAGGGACCCTCTCTCAGATGGCACCTGCCCCCACCTCCCCAGCGATTGAGGCCTGGTCCATGCTGGCTCGAAAGACTTGTTTCTGAGTGTTTTTTATCCTTTTTGCAGAAGTTTGTTTTGAGTAGCTAATACCCCGTGAGGGCCCCAGTTTGGGCACCAGCTAAAGAATCTTTTAGTGTATTTCTTGGATCCGGCTTAAAACCACCCGGCTTGCGATTTGACCTGCTCTGTAGTTTCCATTTCCATGAAATATAATAGGCCTCCTCTGAACCCTTCTGGTAAGCAGCTTAATCTTGAAAAATGCTTGTGACGTGACACACGGAGCATGAGTAACTTCAGCCGATGCCACTTGGCCGTGTTGCCATGGTGACGCTGGCGCCTTTCCCGCCCTGCTCCCTCTGCTCCCCACCCCCCCAGAGGCTGTTCTGTCCTGCGCACCAGCTCCAATCGGGAAAGTTTAGTGGGGCAGTTAGAGCCTAATGATGCAACAGCTGGACCTCTGCTGGATCACGGGCAAGCAGCCCCATTCTCGCCACTCGGGCTGGCAGCAGGAGAGCCAGACTGTTTTGTGGCTACTGGCAGAGCAGCCCTGGGAGCTGAGTGTCTAATTTGGTGGCCCTGTCCCAAGATCGCCCTCGCAAATGTGCTGCTTGCTGCCCACCAGTGCCGACTCAGCAAGTGCTGGAGGCGGGCAGCTCAGGCCAAGTCTGGTGCTGGGTACCTCCACATGCTTCTCCCGTTCAACCTTCCCGGCAGCCAGGCCAGGAGAGAGAGCCCAGCCACACTGCTCTGAGCTAGAGAGGAAATGATGAGGTGATTTAACTCACAGCTGCCCTCTTTTGAATTCAGGCCCATGGACTGGGGAGCTGGCCTTTCTACCACACCTTACAGGAAACCCCTGCTGGCTCAGCTCGGGCTGTAGCTCTGCCCCAACCTCTGGGCTGCGGCTCAGAACCATGAGCACCTGCGGGTTTTCCAGGACCCAGTTTCACCTGTTTATCCACAGCTGCCAGTTGCTGGCCTCTCTCAGGAATATAGAATGCTGAGGTGCCCAGAGAGGGCTCAGAGCAAGGGCCGGAAGGACAGGGTGCCCACTGCCCTCTTAACGTCTCACTGTGCATCCAGCCCAGGCCTCTCTTGGCCTCCAGCTGACTTATTACCATGGGTATTTCATTTCTCCTGCTGTCTGTGGAAAAGCCAGCATTTGCAGAGAAGGCTCCCATCGTCATGAAATCATAGAAACACCCATTAAAATGCAGTGATACCATTTTTCACCACCATTGAGTTCTCAAATGATAATTGATGGGCAGTTTTTTCATTCACCTTGCATTTTCAAAGACCTAGAATTCCCTCCTAGAATTCCTTAGACCCATTCTACCATACAGATGCAGCAGTCAGGATGGCTTGTGGCGAAGTCTCGTGCTCTTCTGTCCCTGGAGCTGCAGAAAGAGCAAGGCAGGGAGAAAGGAAAGACAGAAGTTATCAGTAGTGACTGTCACTGTCTCTCAGGAGGGCTGTGACCCTCCTGGGTGCTGCCACTGACAGATGACTCAGCAGGCATCCCCAACAGAAGGGACCAGCCCTGCTATCAGCCAGGTTCTCTGGAATGTATGCTCATGTTGTTTGTAATCACTATAGACTTGCACTGGTGGGTTTCCGTTGAAAGAGGGCAGAGAAAATGCTAGATCACATAGGGTAGTTTGAGGTGTCACAATTGTTTTGCATAAAAGCAAATGTGAAATAGCATTTTCCAGCCCTTTAAAAGAATGACTTGATCCGTATTTGCAGATGCAGCCCTTTGATCTCTTGGGAATCACCATCAAATCTCTGGCAGAAATTGAAAAAGAGGTAAGCAAGCTGCCCAGAGTTGGGGCAGGCGGGGCCTGGGCCTGCTTGCTCACCATGGGGTCTCCGGTCCCCCCTGTAGGGCTCTGTCCCAGGAATGGGGAGGACCTAGCTGTGGGGTGCCCCTCTGAGGAAAACACTTCCATGTCACTCAAATTTATGCATGAGAAAAAGAAACTCACTTTTAATGTCTCTATTGCTTCAAGATAGTTATGACCAACACCTCCTTGTGTTATCTGAAAACCAGGTTTTAACATGCCCCTGTTTTTAAAAGGTGGCAATTGGGGGCTGGACATGAAATCTCCTTTCCCTCCCTTCTCTGCTTTATTATTTGCCACCAGTAGGGGTTTGGGGACACGTCCGAGGAACCTCTTCACAATTTAGAGCCAGGATCAGGATTCGTTCCGTTGTACCCGGTAAGCCAGACCCCATTTGGCAGCCTGGTTCAACATAGTTGGGATGTTTTCCTAATAAAACAGAAAGAAACCCAAGACTGGGGTACATGTGACAATTCTGAGGAACAAGAGCTGAGAGATTGGGACAAAACTGGAGGTCAGACCCATCCATGTCTTGCCTGTTTCATAAGACAGCATTAGCATCTGTGTGCTGTCTTTCATGTATAGACGGCTGTTAAGCAGTCACATGCTTGCAACTGGCTCTCCTCTGAGAGGAACATTTGTCTCAAAGATGGAAATGGTAGAACCATTTCAATATTCTCAGTTCCTCTGGGTTTTCTCCTTTATACCCAGCCAGCAGAAGCAGGTTGCATTATTGAAAGATGGCTGAAATCAAGGAAAATTGAATCAATGTAGTACAACAAATTTCTAAACCTGTCATAGCAAAAAACAAGACAAAAAAGTCCCCCTTTGTCTTTGATTTCAGTAAATCATAAAAACCAACCTGATTGTCATCTGTAGGTTTCAGGGGTGGGGGATGTGGGAGAAAGAGTGGCCGGCTCCTACATTAGAGATCCTCATGCCCATGGAGCTCTGTGTCAGCCCTTCTCCAAAGCAAGGTAGCCATAGATGGTTCTACAGACAGCCTTCACGTGGGGTCCTAAGTGGGGTGGCGTATGTGTAAAAGGCCTTTGGGAGTGGCGTATTGCAGCTGCAGGGGTAAAGCCAGGGGCACAGCCTGTGGCCCCTTTAGGATGGACAAGGTCATATGGACTGATGTCCAACTCAGCTCCATGCTGACTAGGGGCAAATCGTCCTCTCTCTGTTTAAAGCTAGGATAATAGGAGAATGTATCTCCTAGGTTTTCAGGAACAGTATGTGAATATACGTAACCACAGGTGCCCAGCATCGCGGGTTGAAGATTGTGAGGTAGCGTGTGCTGGACCAAGCAGACAGCTGTCTGGATGTTGTGCTTTCTCTTATCTGCCATCTGTCCATGTTTTATTTTAGCACCTGCTATGTGCTCACCTTCAGCTGGGGGCTCTCCCTACATTTCCACAGGTTCCCGCTGGCCAAGTGGGTACCATTCCTCCCCATCTCACGGGGCAGAAATTGAGACTCTAGAGGTGAAAGGTCTTGCCCAAGACAAGATTGAGACCCGTGGTCACACTCCAAACCCTGCCCCTTATGCCTGGAAGCCCATGGTTCTGTTTCCCTCCAAGGGGCTGATGGAGACAACCGTGCTGGGAAGGCTGGTCCACCTGACACAGGCTGGGCCTTTGAGTTCCTGGGATGGGGCAAAGTAGGTGAGGCCTGTGTCAGGCTCAGCGCCGGCTGCAGAAGCCACTAGAAACTGACATTCTCATGCTGAGATCTGAAATGCCATTCAAACGTGCAATTCTTTAGAATGTGTTGTCTTCATGTCCGGCACTCTGAGAGAGCCTGGCAGGGTACAGATGGATTCTGGACTCGGCCACCCATGCTTGGGTCTCAGCAGAACCACTTAACTGCTCTGAACCTCTGTTTTCCCTTCTGTAAATCAGGAGAGTAATGAAAATACTGCCTGCACGGCACTTATGAAGTTTGACTGAGACGGTCGTGTAGAGGGCCTGGGACAGGGTCTGCCGTGATGCTGCTCAGGGACTGCCAGCCGTGGCCACCGCCTCGGTCGTGATCACCATTATTACTGTCCTGCAGGAAGGGGGGCAAGTGAGCGCACCTCTGACCTAGGTCAGCCTGGCTGGCCACTCGGCCACTGGAGGCCAAGCAGTGACATCCCTGATGACCATGCCTCACTTTACTTCTTGTTTCAATGATGGCTAAAAACACAGGTCTTGTTCTCTGTTGAAGGAAATTAAAGTGGAGTTAAAAAGTCAGGGAACAGAGAAGGTTAGAAACGTTAACTAGGCTGTAAAACCATCACAGATACCACCACAGTCAAGGATGCCGCGGTTCCTCATTTAATCTGAGGATTTAGAAGTTACTGGCCCCGGCCATCGGCGTGCATTTCATGGTGATTAGTATGTTGATATCACGCTCTGGTGAACAGACTGCTGCTTCGGCAACAATGGCAGAGAATTTTCTCCATAAATAAACATGAAGTTCCTCCTTTTCACTGCTGATCTCTACATTGCTCATGAGCCGGAGGCCAAGGAGAAGCCGGACCCACCATCCCCCAGGCCCCGGCTCTCAGCTCCAAGGGTTGGGCCTGAGTTGCTGGATGTCCCTTGGGTCAGGATGATTTTGCTCCTTTCCATCTCCAGCAAGTCTGGTTGCCCGGGGGGGAGGGGGGGCTGAAGGGGATCTTTGCTCACTGTGTATTATTTTTTCATATTTTACACTATTAAACCAAACCCCTTCCCCACAAAAAGGCAGAAGACTGCCTGTGGGTTCAGGGACAGACACATGACCAGAACCGCATCTCTCTGCCTATCCTGAACACCTCCTGGGCCTCTGAGATTCCTGAGCAGCAGGGAGAAGCCAGCGTCCACGGAGGCTGCGTTGTGCTAGGCAGGTGCTTCCCTCCCCCCACACACCCTGCATGCACCCCGTGTGGAGAAGTGATACTGCCCTGGTTTACGGCAGAGACCTGGGCTCAGGTGGTCCCATCCATGAAGGAAGTTGAAGTGCATGCTGCTGATGCCAGCACGTTGCTCTGCCCCCCAAAATCAGGCAAGCTTCAGAAAAAGCATGACCCTGGGCCCTGCCAATAGGAAGACGGGACGAGGCCGCTGGCAGTGTGGACCAGAACCACCTGCCACGTTGATGGGCACATACTGGGTGCTCACAAGGATGTTTACGGACCATGTGGACGATGGAGGCAGCAGGGTAGGTAGAGGACACACCTTGAGTCTGGGTGCCTGAAGTAGCACACCAAATCTGCCACATAAGTTCAACTCCAGGCAGGTGCCCTGGCTTCCTGCTCCACAGGCCTGATGGCCCCAACCCCTCGTGGAGCACTCGTCCTGGCAGCTGCTGCTCCTGCCTTCACGGCAATCCCCCCAGAAGCTATGGCATGTGGCACTTGGTTAAGTTTCTTGAAAGACCCCCAAGGAAGGTCCTGTTTTAAGGTTGTGATTAACATCTCTCTGCCTGCCATTGAGCAGATTGCAGAGGGAATAGATTCTTGACAAACGTGAAACCTCTCACAACTAAGAAATACGCTAGGGTGTGGGTGTTGAAAATAAGCAAAGCTGTGGCTAATAAAGAAATTCTCCCCCCCCCCCCCTTGAATGCTGTCACTCTCGTGGCGATGGCAGCCTCCTTCCGGCCCGGCCTGCCCTCCCGCAGCCCTTGTCCGTGCCACCCGCGTCTGTCCGGGCTCGGAGCAGGGCCTCTGCCGCAAAAATGTGCCCGAGGTGTGAGAAAGTGAGTTTCCTCACCTCCCCTGGGCCTCGGGAGTGATGGGGAGGCTCTCTGGCCCCTGCCCTTCCCCCACAGCGTGGTGGTGACCCCGGGGACCGTGTCCCGGTGAAACCCTCATTGTCCTCCCCGCTGCCCAAATAAAAGGTTCTCTCTATCCAAGAATCAGGAAAAGTGTAATTTTGCAGCCGACCCCTGTGATGAAGCGTCTTCTCTCGGAGTGAGAAGATGGGCATATAAATATCCTCCGTCTCTGCTGCTCTTTATTTCCCTTGTAAGCAGTTGCCCTGTTTCTCCATCTGATGAATTCCCCGTCACAGCCAGGGTGGGAGCGCCCCGCACTCCGCAGCCCAGGCTGCAGCTTCTAAAATCATTCCGGGGTCTCTGTGCCCTTTGCCATGACTGCCTCCCTCCGCCCCGCCCACCGCCCCACCTGCCCTGTGGCCGGGCCACCCCGGTCTCACCGTCCCTGTCCCTCATCTCAAGGAATAATGGCCAAGAGACAGCGGCCTTGATTGTGGATTTCACGCCGCGTGCGTCTAACACCCCGCAAGCCTTTTAAAACCAGGAGGCAACAATGCCTATGACGAAGCGGCACCCAGCCTCCCAGCGCCTTCCAGCCTTCCATCTCGGACAAAGCCATCCCCCCCTGCCGCCGGCCTCCCGCAGGAAACCACGATGCTCGCCCTGCCTTCTGTGGGTGCCAGCTGAAAATTCAGCCTGGCAGGGGCAGCATCATTAGCCCACCGTGCTTCCTGGTAGGACACGCAGCCTCCATTTTCACTCGACTTTAAAGCTGAAAGACACGGGAGAGTCTAATTAGTAAAGGGACGATCTAATATTAATCACTCCCTTAAAATTGACAAGGGAGGCAGTTCATTTAACCACTTAATTGCTACAGGTTTTTATGGGCTGCTGTTTGCAGACATATTTAATGAAGAAGTTATAAATCTAAGAGAGCTTAAAATTTTAATTTTATACCTAAATATTTTCCTTGTTCTCGTGTTTGTAGTCAATCCTCAAGAGTGTAGTCACGTGGAATGTTCTTTAAATGAACATATTTGCTAACTGGCGTGATTTCAGTTTTTAAAACATTGGTTCCAGCAATTAGGCATTTTTCTCAGTTCCCAAATGACTAGAGAAATTCGTCTTGATTATAATTGCTCTTAGCCACGCATATCTAATTTGTGTCTTTTTAAGTGTTAATTAGTAAACAGTTTGAGCTGACATCTTTATGTGTTTGTG